CCCCCCCCCCCTCGCGGTTTTAAATAATTAATGAAGAGGTTTTAACCTTAACTCAGAAATCACGCACCATTTTTTATTTGCTTACTTAATTAAGCGGAGAACGCTACAAAAAGTGATAAGTGGTGTTATTGCGCTCAGATTATAATTGCATTTTGTGAATCAGATAAATATTTTAATCACCGATTTTTTTGTGCCAGAAAATTTGATCTGTGCGACTGAATTTGAATTGCATATGATATCGTGAGTTTTCACAGAGATTTCGTAATCTATGCACTCACATACTAATACGACCCCTGTACGACTTTAATGAGCCTCTTGTTATTTTTAATCCGATTTACTTAAGTATTAATCTTATCATCTTCCAGGACGAGCAAGTATCATCCACCAAGCTATCGAATCCTATGAATGTTTTCTCCATTGAACTACATGGCACTGCTAACCCCTCCTCTTCCTTTCACACTAAAATCGTACAGCCCACGGAACCTCAAGGAACCATGCGGATAGACTCTATCTCCTATAATGACTCACGGAATATGAGTCTGGTCGGCTCCTCTGGTTTCGAACTTGTTAATACGAAAGGTACGTTTTCTTATAATTTTCGTGTGTTTTTGACTCTTGTCATATTTGTCAATTACCTTTACCTAAATGAGATTTTGGTCGTTTGGTCGAAAAGGGAATATAAGGATCTTATTGTTTACGTCTCCATTGAGCTTAATTTATTCTTATAGTTAATAGTTAAAATCGCTTGTTTATATGAGGAACATAGAAAAATAGTTGAAATGGGGCAAACTGTTATGAGACGTACCTAGTCCTATCTTCACATTTCCTTCAGGTCTTGCTTTTATCTTTTGCCTGTGGTGTCGCCCTACTAGATGTTTTCTTAAGTTGATTCTCAATCTACCCCACTGATTTTAGCGAATAGAATGAGTATTTGATTGGGAGACAACCACTGATTTTCATTAATATCTCTGTCGTAAACGATCCACTTCCCTACTCTAATATAACTTTTATAAAATGGACAAATATTTCGTCTTAACAACACCAACAACAATTAAATACACGTGCTTCCCGTCTCATCCTTGTTATCTTGGTCGAATTTATGAGGTGTCGCCTAAATTCACCTCCTATTCAACGTGTTGATGTGTTTCGAGTGTAGTTGCACAGTTGGTAATGGAGATATGAGTTTCTGCGATAATCCTCCGGTGGTTAATTGAGGATATGATTTAACTGGGAATTTCAATTCGTCATCAAAATGTGTAGGTGGTTCTAATTTTGGCGCATTATTGAAATTTCTGTTGCTTGATTTAAATCTTTTAAGCCAAAATTTGCATTGCCATACTTTTATCTCTTGACTTGGTAATTTGCAATAATGATCTTAGTCGCCTTATAGGGGCGTGAAATTTATTACCCATTAACAATGGTGCACAATCTGTCAACTGAGAAAAACTTACGGGTTTGTTTCCTTCATCGCCCCTTTACACAAACTTTCCTCAAACATCTCTTCGTAAAATGCCTGCATTCTTATTGGTACTTTAGTATTTCGTTTCTTCTACAAGAATTATATAAATATTGTCAATTCTTTTAGCGTTTTGCTTGTATTTTATCTCCACTTACATAAATTGTCATTAAATTTTACCTTGCTAAAACCAGTCAATTATTGCATGCATACTTTTTAGTGTTTGCTGTTACAATAACGCTTGTCTTTTGGTTGTAGAACTTCATCGGTTTGTGGCTTACTTGTTTTCATTCTTGAAGATGGATGATTTATCGATCGATTTTGTTCCTGGACTTCGACTTTCGGTTAATCTTTATTCTCACTTTCGAAGCGCCTGGTATTTTCTATTTCGTCACATCCCCACTGTTACGACTGGGGTCGTATTTGCTTCCGCAGAACCACTTGAACAATGTAGGGTGCCTGGCCGTTGCTCAACGTACCCGTTGAATAAAGAGATGATTTCGGCTACGGGGAATGTAGCTGGTATTGTTTGGCCCAGTATACTCAGTGATCATCTCTCAGCCGATCAAGCTCCCTTCTGTCAACTGAGTATCCACTTTGGAAGTACTGAAGATCTTTCTCGATTGCAAATCCATAGGGGTTTGTCTGAGGCTATTACGTGTCATCTTACTCTTATCAATCCAACCGACAGCCCACTCCTCATTCAACCCATCCTACTTGATGACCTCCTTCCTAAAAGCTTGAACTACACTGATATAGTAGTACAGTTGCCAATCATTTCAGACGAGCTTTTTCGGGCTGCTCATGTTCCAAAACACTTGACTAAGTTCCCTCACGTATGAGTAGTCTTTTATATAGCTTTTTTAGCAAATTCACGAGCTGAGATTTCTATTTGTTCTATAGCATCCATCTCAGCGAACCGGTCGTTTCATAGCTCGATTCGATGCAAAGAATCGTGGACGTGTTTCGTCGGAATGTTTGCATTCAATCATGCAGGATAATAATAATCTACAGAATCTTATTTCTCCTACATGCTGTCCACTATACACATTGCCACCACGAGGCGAACTAAATTACTCAATCACCTTCACACCGGGAGCTTTTCACAACGAAAGCACTGGCAAACTCCAATCTGGATTCGACTCTTCTCTTCTGCTTTTACGAAATAACCTAACTGCTCTTGACACTCTCCTACTCCAAACTGTAACGCCGACAGCTGCAGTTGGAGTTCGTTATGAAATTATTCACTCAAGAACAATTGAAGGAGGTGAGAGAATTCAGACTACTTTTCCCACTACCTCAGGGTCTTTCGATGGCACTATGAACTTTAATCCGTCACTCAATAGTGCGACATGTGAGAGTACTCCCTTGGCTGATAGCATCGATTTGGCCAGATACAATCTCCTGAGAGAAGATGGAAAACCTCTCTGCCCAATTGCTGCGGCTCAAAGTGGAGCAAATCTCTCTCTGTGTAGGGTTTCTACCACTTTTCTTAACTCATCAACACCTAATGAATCTGTTTTCACATTCACCTTCCACGAGGCCCACCTTAAGTCACTTTGTAAGTTTATTTTATTATGTATTCAAAATTTATTGGCATATAAAATAACCATAATTTGAGTAGGCACTGTTGGTTAGCCAAAGGTTGGTTTGGTTAACTTTCTCACGTATGAAAGTCAAGAATACATAAATTCGTGTCATTCAATTTCATGGTAGACTTTTATGAGTTACTTTTCGTCGTATTTGCCTTAGTTTTTCGAGTTCATTAAAGCTGCTTGAAACAGACTCTGACGCACTGCACTTGTGGGCTTTTCTTGAATAGACGCACTCAGTTACTGCTAGATATTTTTACCTTAGGCATTGACATATTGATTGATGGTGTTGATTTAGTGTTTGAAATTTCTCAGGTTTTAATAGAAGCTGTATCGAGTTCTGATCTTCCCCCTTGATAACTTAAGAAATATTGACTGATATCCAAGCGAATATATATATATATATATATATATATATATATATACAATATATATATATATATATATATATATATATATATATATCTGAGTAAAGGTGAAGACAACAGTTTGCGTTTTCTTCCCATTATTGTCGAAATAGCGCATGCTTCTCAAATTGTTTATGCGGCTTAATATTTATATTTATTTATTTCAAATGGCAGGCCTTTTGATAGTTATCATTAGCCCTTTAGCTGACTTCGGGCTTCACAGGGGGAAGGAACATCAAAGTAACCGAAAGTCGAGGGATGTGGAACAGAAGAGTGGTTTACAGTTGTAAAAGAGACAGACACAAAGGCAGAGAAAAGGTAGGATGATTACTGTGAAAGTGGTAGAATATGGCATCCAGTGGGGTTATGGTAGTTTGAAGTGAGAAGTCAACTGCCGGTTAATAGACTTTTTGCCGTATGAGCATACGTTGCCCGGGGTGCACCACGTGGAGGTAAGTCTATCGCACACCCCATGCGGCTTAATATGAATTGCGTTATTTGCTACGGGGTTCAAATTGAACTTTGACAAGTTCTCCCTTTACGAATGCTTATTTGTCTTTTCTTCTCTAACTGGAATATCGCTTGTTGTGCGTAAAAACTAAAATTTTGATTACAGCGGAATCACTGAGCAATAGTAGTTATAGAGTATCCCGAATAAGACTCGCAAGAGAGGAGGGGGGAGACTAGGGGGTGTAAAAGTAATCAGTAAAAGTCCGCGCTTAAATCGTTCCACGCATTTGGATTCCTGAATGTATTGGGTATTTTGCATGTTAGTTAATAGATTAAATCGCTGATAGTTCTGAGGCTATTAACCTGTAGGTTGATTTGAGAGGATTTATCAAGTTATCTTAGCATGTTTCTTCAGATAAGACGCAACTTAATACCATACTCGTGAATTCAAAGTGAGATTGGTTAGTATTTCATCTATTCAATAATTTACCACAGAATTACCTTTCTTCCAATTATTTATGCTACCCTAGCCATTTGATGATTTTTACTTTACTCAAGGCTAATGCTCTCACATTATTAGCTGTATTTTACGTTTGTTTGGAGGCATTTGCCAAGGATATGCATGACTGGAGCTGTTTCTTGTCTCGTCACATGGCGGAAAAGTGTGACCTTATATTTTGACATGTGCTAACCTGTAGACATAGAGTCAAGACGATGTGAGCTAACTATATTCTTTTCTATTTTGTTTAAGGTGCTGACGGTTCAAATCGCCCCCATCCCTCCATTACACATGTCATAGAGAGCATGAAGTCGACGTTTCCTTTTGGCCTTCTTCACCGTCTCCTCACAAAATGGCCAGGTTTTAATCCCACTATTGACTCATCTAGATCTTCGTCCAATGTCCAGCTCCCATGGGCTGTTGACAAAGAAGGGTCGCCTATCTTTTCTTCAGACTTCAGTTCCGGTCTCGTCTTATCTCGTCGCATTGCTCTCTTCAACCCGGCCTCTATGCCAGTGTGGATAATGCGGTTAGGTTTTCGACAGTCTGGTGGTGTTGGACACACTCCTACTATGGGGCAATGTGAGCCTCATCTCAATGGCTTTTCTCTAACACTCTGTAATAAGCCTGAAGACCCTGCACAGTCCACACAAAAGACTATTGATGGAGCTATAAGAGAATTTGAGCTCAAACCCGGCGATCAGCGTTGGTTAGAGGTGCTCTATGCACCCGATTTCCTCTATTCTGAAATCAATGTGGAGTTGTGTCTCTTTGCCTCATTGAAATCTCCCTCTTCTGGGAGGCCTGTATGGCTGAGTAGACGAATGCTTGACCTTGAATCTGTGCTATCGAACCACGGATGCAATATGGGCAATGGCAGTGAATGCTCAGTCTTTCAATTGGAGCCAATTCCAATGACTGCTAAGATCATGCCTTCGCTCGCTCGTCTCTGTTACAACTCTCTCATTAGACCTAGTTTTGAGGAAACGCTCTGGTAAGCGTACCATTACCATTGATGTTAGTCCAAAGGGGTTTGTCTCAAAAATCCAGTTCATTTCTCTTAAGAAAAGTGTGAGCATGATATAAGTAGGTATTTACTAATTAAGTAGATAGATGTGTCGAATGAAAGGTTTTTTCAGTTTTGCTAATTCATATTTGGGTTTTCATCGCTTAAATGCTTCTGAATTTCCCCTCTAAGACGTCGATTGAAATCCTGAAATGTAAAATTCAGTGACTTTAACAAGGTCTCAACAATCATTTCTTAACACGGTCAGTGGACGCTTTAAATTTTTTCCGTCTGAGTCTAAATCTCTCGTTTGAAAAGCAGATAAATAGACAATATATCGATTTTACCTCCTAATTAAATTAAAGAAATTATTCCTTTCCCCCCTCTATGACCTGGTACCTTATGGATGTCTTCATTTCCCAACAATTACTCATTAATTTTAAGATTCCGATGGTCATATGTTAACTTAAAGGATCATAACAATAAGGATGATATAGCTTTTTTCAAGCAAAGAAGTTAATTCGTTAAGAAGTATTTATTTATTTCAAATGGCAGGCGTTATGATAGCTATCATTAGCCATTTAGCTGACTTCGGGCTTCACAGAGGGAAGGTTCATCAAAGTAGCAGAAAGTCGAGGGGTGGGGAACAGAAGAGCGATTCACAGATGTAAAAGAGGCAGACAGACACAAAGGTAGAGAATAAGGTAAGATGCGTACTGTGAAAGGGGTCGAATATGACAAGCAGTCAGGCCACGCTAGTTTGAAGTGAGAAGTCAACTGCCGGTTAATAGACTTTTTTGCCGTATGAGTATACGTTGCCCAGGGTACACCACGTGGAGGTAAGTC